GTAAACACAAACTGGATAGCAAACACATACCTTTTACAACACAAATGCTTTCACCACTTTTTGGATTCCTTATTCTCAAGGTTGCATCATCAGAGTCGGTAATTTACCGACGTGGGAACCAGAGATGTTTTTCGGTGAACTGTTTTGGCTCCCTCTTTGCAAGATGTTTCTTATCGGTAATGAGGAGTGCGTTTACCAACGTGATTTTCATCTACGTCGGTGATTGAATTCCCGAGCCCGACTTCACTGACAAACCTATTACCAACGTGATCCAAGTGGGAATTTTGTTTGACCGACCAGATTATCTTTTTTACCGACATGATTGCTCGTCGGTGACACAGTGAATTCTTATAGTTTAAAAACAAATGGTCAAACTAAACTTGAGAAGATGAAACCTCTAGTGAGACTTCTAAGGAAAAAAAATGTCTGCTACAAACCCAATCCTCTATAAATTCATCAAAAAAAAAAAAAAAAATCTAAAAGAGGAAGTCCATTCAATGAAATAATTGATCAAACACCTGATGTGTGTAACAATATATATATATCCTCTTCCATAACTCAGGGGCCATAACCCCCCAAACCCTAAGTATCCTCTATCCTTGATTGCAAGAAGCAGATACAAACACCAAGAAAAACAAATACACACACTTACCTTCCATGTTAGCAGAGACAAGGCATAATAGATGCACCAGCAAGATCAACCCCAGGAAAACCAAAGCCCTAAACTCCCCTTTCCTCTCCATTATAAAACTCACCCTGAGATTTCACACTACCAAGCTACTCAATCCCCAAACAAAACCAATTAAAACTCAATTTTCTTTAGGAAAACATTAATTCAGCTTTATTGGGCAACTGTTTAAAAAAAAAAAACCAAAATTGCTTTGCATACTCATATTTCAAGTCACCATTTGACGTGAAAGTTGACATGGGTCTCATGCTAACCCCTAGTTACTAAGTAACTAGAAACATTGGAGTAGAAATTAACAAACTTTTTTGTGTGTTGGCTTATTTCTTTTTCTTTTTCTTTTTTTTTTTACCGTGTCAAATTTCCTTAGGCTTTCTAAGTTACTCATGTAATGAGCTTTTTGTTAATGACTCTCAAACCAGTTGGCTTTAGAGCATTAGGTGAAGAGACACCCCTAAGAGCATACTTACTCAAGTAACAAAGGCCAAAAAACATTTGACTCTCTTTTTTTTTTATTATTATTAGCAGCAATTTCAAGGGATAATTAAACAAGGTAGTCATCCCAGAAATAATGGCACATACTCACAAGATGCATATAATTTCCAACTAGCCAATTATAAAATCAAAGCTCTCAACTCATCTCATCAAGATATTACTAAATTTTGAATTAATCATCAAAGTAGAATAGTATCCCTTACTTGCAACATCTATGAAACAAAATATGTATAGGCTCATTTGACTAAAGTAAGATATCATGCTAGAAAAGTATACTCACATGCATGCATCAATGCTTTAAATCTTAAAAACACAACAAAAGAGGTAAGAGAAGAAAAACAATACTCTCCTATTTTGCTCTTCTTGCAGTTGACATGCAATGCATTCCTCTATACCCAAAATATCTTGTTGTAGTTACCTAAGATGCTGCAAGTGCAATGAAAAGCTAACCCAGCAAAAAGCTCCATGCAAATTAGTAAAAAGAATATGAATAAAAGAAAGAAACAGTTCATGAAAATAAGCTAGAAACTAAAATAGAAAAATGTGAAATCACAGTTTTTTTTTTTGTTCTATTTTTTTTTTTCGTTTCTTCTCTTTTTTGCTTTTTGAATTTTTTTTTTGATGGATTGCCTCCCATTAAGCGCTTCTTTATAGTCATTAGCTTGATTATCACTGCAAAAGTGTCAAGGATCTTTCAATAAAATGGTGGAGTTAAATGTAGGAAAATTATCACCTTCAACAAAAATTTTCAACTTTTGCCCATTCACCTTAAAAGTTCCCTTGGTATCATGTAAAATTTCAACAACTCCATAAGGAAAGAGCTTAGTCGCCACAAAAGACCATTCCATTGTGATTTCAACTTACCTGGAAAAAGTGGCAATCAAGAATTGAAAAGAATCTTGTAGTTTGTGCCATGTCTTGGTTCGTTCCTTATAAGTCTTGGCATTTTCATACGCGCCAAGTCGTATTTCTTCTAATTCATTCAATTGCAATTTTCTATTTTCACCTACATCTTTCACATCAAAATTAAGATATTTAATAGCCCAATATGCCTCATGCTCAAGTTCCACAAGAAGGTGATAAGCCTTACCAAAAACTAACCTATAAGGGGACATACCTATAGGAGTTTTGTAAGCTGTGCTATAAGCCCAAAGTGCATCATCTAATTTAAGTGACCAATCTTTCTTAGATAAGTTAATTGTCTTTTCCAAAATTCTTTTTGTTTCCCTATTAGACACCTCAACTTGCCCACTTGTTTGGAGGTGATATGGAGTAGCAATTTTATAGGTAACACCATATTTAGCCAATAAATTTTTAAATTGCTTATTACAAAAGTGCTTGCCTCCATCATTAATTACAGCCCTAGGTGTGCCAAATCTAGTGAAAATATTACTCTTCAAAAATTTAACAACCACCCTAGCATCATTAGTAGGGCATGCAGTAGCCTTTACTCTTTTACTCACATAATCTACCGCAACAAGAATATACTCCTTGCCAAAAGATAAAGGAAAGAGCACCAAGCTTGGAAGAGAAAGAGCACCAAGCTTTAAATTTTAAGTTAGGCTTTAACCAACTCTTGAGAATAGTTAAATAAAAGGGTCCAACCAAATACAAACCTGACCAAGGGATGCTACTACAATTGGCTCTGGTGAAATCTCTAAGAAACGTTGATCTATTGGTAATCCAAGCTCTTGTTTGATGGTATTCAAAGCAACTTTAGTTGAAAATGGAGATATTCAGTCTTGTAACAACGAAAGCTCATCCAAGTATGATGGTGGTATCAAATTCTATAGCCATGGCCAATATAGTTTTCACATAAGCTAAATTCATTTGTTTCAACATTCAAATCTAATTATGTAGAATTGCCTAAATGATGGAGCACATTTCTACTGTTGATTAAATGTTACAATGAAAAGATGGAACACTAAAATGGAATTAAGCAAGTCATGCTTGTTGTTTCCTAAATGATATGCCAACTTACAAGTTGAGAGGAAATAGCTTGTGCAATTTTAATATGTGCCTACAACACAAAAATGAAGAAATAGAAGTAATTAAGCAACAAAAAGAATAAATAAACCACAAATATATGTTAATTACTAGACCAATTTCTACCAATATTTTTTGAAGCTCTGCAACTCTAATCTGTTAGTCAACCAAAGAGAAATTTCCCCTCCCATCCCTTTCAATTCTTTTATAACCAAATAAAAGAATTTTTTCCCCTCCTCTCTTCTCCCCTCCATTCCCCTCAAATTAAACATACCATAAGTGATTAGATTTGGAATACAACAATTGAAGCTTAGGGCATCTTGTATTAGGGGTGGATATGGTTTGGTTTTGGTTACAATTACAATTAAATTATTAGTTAACAAGGAATGGTGAGAAAGCACAGAGACGGGAAAAGCAGATGGCACCAACAGAGGTCTCCGATGGCCAGAGAACATGGAGCTCATGGAAGATATGCAATGGCTTCGAGGGATCGAAAGAGATATAGAAGATTGACACTAATCAGTATGGAATTGCTAAAGAACGAGTGGAGTTTCCTCTTTTCTAACTTTCCGGTAGAGTGGAACTCTGAGATGCTATGGGCGGTATTCTCAAGGTATGGGAAAGTCCTTGATGTTCGTATATCCAAAAAGAGAGATAAAAGTGGAGGGAAGTATGGTTTTGTAAGATTTTTGAATGTGAAGAGTACTTTTGAGCTTTAAGAATGACTCAACCGGATTTGGATTGACAACTTCCATATGAGGGTTAAATTTATATGCTTTGGGTGGAAAGAGTCTACTGTGTCTGAGTTGAAGGTGGGCAAGTTGAGGAGGGTGGAGTCGGCGAAGACTACAAGGGAGACGAAGTGGGTGGTGAAGGATGCGGATTCAAAAAAAGGAGTAGTGAGGAGCATTGAAAAGCAAAAAGAAAACAAAGGAACTACGATATAGGCATCTAAATCCTTTGTGGAAGTCTTGAAAAGGAATCCACACAAAAATGATGTCCAGAAAGGGGAAAGTGTGAACTCTTGTGAAAGGGGAGTTAGAGAGAAAGCAACAAGTGACCATGGTGAGGAGAGGAAGGTGATCAAGTGTGATGTGGAAGAGAAGGATTATGCTTGGTTGAATGCTTGTGCAATAGGTATGGTGTTATCCCTAGAAATTATCCCTTCCCTACAGGAGATCTTTGAGATGGAAGGGTACTTCAACATTGCAATTGTCCCTTTAGGGGGAAGTATGGTGTTGTTGAAGGGTGAAGATGGTGAGCTTATGAAGGAGTTAATAGACAATGAACAGAGATGGTTAGAAAGATGGTTTGAGTGAGTTAAATTGTGGTCAACATCTGATCTTAGCCATGAAAGAAATATTTGGATAAAAATTTTGGGGATTCATCTTCATGATTGGAATGAAAATTGTTTCAAGTTAATAGGGGATCATTTTGGACAATACATTTATGCTGATAAGCATACCATGAACAAAAGTTGTTTGGAAGTAGCTAGAGTATGTGTCTTGGTGTTTGAGTCTAAGAATATCAATGGTGGTTTGGTCTTAAATGTTAATGGTCACCCATTCCAAATACATGTCTCTGAGGAATCATGGAGATCAAATCCTGCATGGTGGATATGTGGCAATGAGCAAATTGAGGAAGGCGACGACACCTTGGATACAACCTCTTCCAACAGTGTAAATAGGTTAGAAAATAATTTTTTCGGTGATGGCAAGGTTAACAGTTCGGTTGATAGCATCGAGGAAGTTGAAAAGACAGATTTGGTCAACGTTCCCTTATCTTTTGGACAACAATAGGGGGATGTGAAATGGTCATATGCAGATGCATGCAGAGAGGGCGGTGGGAGCAAGGTAGGACCTCATGAATTAAGGAATGAGCTGGAAAATAATGATGATGGAAATCGCATTAGAAAGGTTAATTCTGTGGAGTTAGAGAGTGTGAACAGTGGAGGAGATATAGGAAAGGGCTCAGAGACTAGGCTTGAGAAGTCTAAGGCCCAAGATGGTGAGTCCAATCGAATTGATTCTAATATGAAGGGAGAAGTGGGCTTAGCCCAAAAAGAAGTACCAAAGAAGCTTAAAGAGTCCAATGAATGTCATAAGCAAAGAACAGAGAAGGAGAGACGCTGGCGAGATTTGGAAGAAGTTTATTACTCAGAGATTAGTGATACGAAGTGGGTAACTAGAAAAAATAGGGGAATTAGGAGGAAACCTAAGAGGAAAAGAAGGACGCAGAGTAGCAAGATTGCGGGACTATCCTTATCCAATAGTAAGATTGAGCAGAGGAATAGGATGTAGCGAAAGGAGAATAGCTGGGGGCAGATGAATAGGTTCTTGGATTTAGGTAGGAAAATAGGGATTATGATTGGGGAAAATGAGCAGGAAATTGTGAGGGTGGTGGAACAATTGGAGGATAGAGATAAGGAGGGAGGCATGCGGTATTGGGGTAATAGAGGCTTTCGATTTGTGGGTGTTGTCGTAAACATGAAGATAATATCTTAAAATATTAGAAGGCTAAATAATGTGATGAAGAGGAAAGGTGTGAGAAGTTTGGTGGTAAAAGAAAAGGTGGATATGATTTTATTACAAGAAACAAAATGGGAAAAAGTTGAGGTTCAAGATTGTAAGATGATTTGGGGTACAGACGATTTTGATTGGGAGGCAAAGGACGGAGTAGCTAGATCAGGAGGACTAGTGTGTATATGGAGTAAATCTACATTTATTAAGGAACGTTTGGTGGTAGGAAACTGGTTTGTAGGGGTAAAAAGGGTTTGGGGTCCAACAAAAATCCCTTGCTCATTCATCAATGTGTATACTCCGGGAAGTTTGCAAGAGAAAATTCACATAGAGTGAATTGAAGGAGACAATCTTCTCATTAGGAGGCAGAGTTTGCATAGCGGGAGACTATAATGTGGTCCTGAATTCGTCCGAAAGGGTTGGCAGGTCTAATTGCACTAGGGAAGTTATGGCTTTTAATGAGTTTGTTTCAGATGCTGTGTTAGTAGATTTGCAATTAGTAGGGAGAAATTTTACTTGCTACAAAGCAGATGTGTCTGCCATGAGCATAATAGATAGATTCTTGGTGAATTCAGAGTTTTTGGATGAGTGGAATGATTGTAGCCAGGTGGGTTTTCAAAGATCAGTTTTAGATCATTGCTCGGTGCTGTTTTAAAAAAATAGCAACGATTGGGGTCCAAGACCGTTTAGATCAGTGGATGAATGGTTAAAGTATCCTGGGTTTAAAGAAGTTAGTAGAGAGCAATGGGAGATAGCAACAATGGAGGGGTAGGCCGACTACGGATGCAAGGAGAATTTGAAGAAGTTAAAGTCATTCCTAAGAGGGTGGAATAGAGAGATATTTGGAGACATAGATCAGCAAATAGAGAAAGCCAAGGAAAAATTGGCTTGATTGATTTAAAAGGGGAGGATCATGAGTTGGATGAGTTTGAAGTGTTATTAAGAAGGGAACGGGTAAATGAGCTGTGGGAAGTGTTGAAGAGGAAGGAAGGTTTATGGAGGCAGAAATCAATAACTAATTGGGCTAGGCTGGGTGATGCAAATACCAAGTTCTTCCATAAATATGCAAGTCTAAGAAGATCAAGAAATTGCATTCAACGACTATGGAATGAAGGTAGTTGGGAAGATGAGCCAAAGAAGGTTAAGAAGGAAATTCTTGATTATTTCAAGAAACACTTTTCAGAAGTGAAATAGAGGAGGAGGCCAACTATAAGTGATCTAGAATTCCAAAAAATTTCCCAGGCAGATAAGGGTCGATTGGAAGCTGAGTTTTCAATCTAGGAAGTGAGGGCAGCAGTAGCATAATGCAGTAGTGAGAAATCTCCTAGGCCAAATGGGTTCAATTTTAGGTTCATCAAATTTGCTTGGGAAATTTTGGAGAAGGATATCATGGATTTTATGCAAGAGTTTCATGCCAATGGCAAATTGGTGAAAGGTATAAATCCCAGCTTCATTGTCTTGATACCTAAGGTGGAAAATCCAGTAAAGCTCAAAGATTATAGACCAATAAGCCTCATTGGTAGCTTATACAAGATTTTAGCCAAGGTTTTAGCTAATAGGCTAAAGTCAATTATGGATGGTCTAATTTGTGAAAATCAATCAGCTTTTGTGGGGAAAAGGCAAATAACAGGTGGTGTTCTGGCTCTGAATGAAGTTGTAGATGAGATGAAGAGAAAAAGGTTGGAGAGTTTTATCCTAAAAGTGGATTTTGAGAAAGCATATGATTGTGTGAATTGGGATTTTTTAAACTGCATTATGGAGAAATATGGCTTCGGGGTTAGATGAAGAAAGTGGATCATGGAGTGTGTCTCATCTGCAACCATTTATATATTAGTAAATGGTAGTTCCACTGAAGAATTTAAACCAGAGAAAGGGCTAAGACAGGGTGACCCTCTTTCACCCTTTTTATTCTTGTTGGTGGCACAGGGAGTGCATTATTTGTTGGAGGAGGCTGTGAAAGTGGGACAACTTGAGGGGGTTAGAATTGGAAATTTATCCATTTCACACCTTCAATTTGCTAATGATACAGTGATTCTAAGCAAGGCAAATATGGATTATGTATAGGTTGTTAAAGGGATTCTTAGGTGGTTCGAACTGATGTTGGGTTTAAAAATCAATTTCAACAAAAGTAGCATTATTGGAGTGAAAATTGATGAAATGTGGATGAAGAGGGCGGCTGAATTTCTAAAATGCAAGAGAGGGTCGATCCCTTTTATGTATTTGGGCATGCTAGTGGGTGACAACCCAAGAAGAAGAAAGATGTGGATGCCGGTGGTGGAAAGATTTCAAAAAAGATTATCAGGTTGGAAATTGAGCTCCCTGTCTTACGGTGGTCGGTTAATACTTCTTAAATCGATACTTTCTTCTCTTCCTTTATATTATTTCTTTGTCTTTAAATTGCCAATGTGTGTGTTGCAAACACTCAAAAAATTAGAATGGGACTTTTTGTGGGGGATAGGGATGGATGCTAGGAGGAAAATCCACTGGGTTTCTTGGGATAAAGTCTGTTTGGGGAAAGATAAAGGAGGATTAGGTGCACACAATCTTAGAATTAGAAATCTTACCTTATTAGGAAAATGGTGGGCAAGGTTTGAAGACGAGGAAGGAGGTTTGTGGAAGAAGGTGGTGATGGAGAAATACTATAGAGGCAGAGATGCAATAGGGGTTGAGAGTGTGAGGAAGAGGAGATTATCTAAAGTGTGGGGAGATATTGTATCAATTGGTAGAGATGTAGAGGTGTCAAAGGAAGTCATCAGAGATGGTTTTTTGTGGAAGCTAGGGGAAGGAAATAGCATTAGATTCTGGATGGATAGATGGTTAGAGGGCCATGCTTTAGAGGAGATATATCTGAGACTAAAATATGTCTCCTCTAAAAAGGAGAGTAGAGTGCAGGAAATGGGGGAATGGAAGGAGGGTCAATGGCATTGGAAATTCAATTGGAAAAGGACTCTGTTAGGGAGGGAATTAGAGGAGGAAAAGGAGTTATTGGGGTTGATAGAGGGCATGAGAATACAGGCTGGACAACAAGATAAAAGGATGTGGACATTTGATGGAACTGGAGTGTACACATCCAAAAAAGCCTATAGCCTTTTGACTTTAGATCAATGGATCTTGGATGCTATTTTATGCAAAGCAATATGGAATAATTTTCTTGTTGGAAAGATGAGTTTTTTTTTCTCAGAGATTGTTTTTGGACAAGTTGCCTACAAAGAGGAATTTGAGTTCAAAAGGCATTAACATGGATGGCGATAACAATTTCTATGTTTTTTGTGGGAAAGCGGTGGAAGATGCAGACCATGTTTTTGTGCAGTGCTCATTTACTTATGAAGTGTGGATGAAGATCTTAGCTTGGTGGGGCATTCATACAGCAGTTGGCGGTAGCGTGAATTAGGCTTTTTGGCAACTTAGTCAAGGGTGGTAGTATGATAAAATGCAAGCTGTCTGGTCCTTTTTGTTCATCTCAGTCACGTGGCATCTTTGGGGCCTAAGAAATAAAGTGATCTTTAAAAAGGTGGAGATGGATGTTCATAGATTAGTGGAGGTAATTAAAATTAAATCTTTTTTGTGGATAAAGGATAGAGTCGTGGATGTGGGTTTTCATTGTATGATTGGAGTATTTATCCCGAATTGTGTTTCAAAGTAATAGATATTTAAATTGTAATAGTAAAATATAATGTAAATGAGTAGAAGTACCCCTTGTACTTTAATATAATAAAATTTTTTTTTATGGTCAAAAAAAAAAAAAACAAGTGATTAGATTCAATTCCTTATCTATGCTGTGGGAAAAATTTTAGTTTAAATTTGAAGAAGATTTGTGGGAATGTAAAGTTTGATATAAAGAGCTAAGGAGGTACCCTTTGTAACTAAATAATAGAAAATACTTATTTTTTGGAAAAAAGAAAAAAGAAAAAAGAAAACACTAAGAACAAGGCTGCAGATGATAGAATTCTCCTGCTAAACACAACCATTTAGCAAAATACTTTCAAGGATTACAGTGCTTCTTTTTGTCCAGATATGTTTATGGGAGGACATATCTTTCTTGACCCGAAGACTTAATTTGCAACCTTGGATATAATTGAGATAGCCTTAACATGGAGGCATGTCAGGTGGTGGTGGCAACATTTTGGCCTCCGGAGATTCGCCATCTTTAACTATGAACACCGTATCCATGCCCCATACCATGTGTTTATCAAAATGACAATGCATGTACCATACTCCTATTCAAGAAGAACAAAGAGACAAAAAAACAGAAAAAGAAGTCAATGATAATAACAACCATAACAATTTTGAAATCTCAGTCCAAAATGCTTTAATTAATTCCTGATTTTGGAGGGTAACACAACCAATTAAAGCTCAAACATTTGCACTAATTGAAAGTGTGTAATGGGTTGGAGAACCAATTGAACAAGCAATAAAACTAATTTGCTGTTTTGCTGTTTAATTTTTTTTTCTTCTTTTTTTGCACCAAATGGAAGAAATTAAACAATCATAAAATGCAGGAACCATATATCCAAAGAAATCTATGAATTAACAGCTTATATTACATGTTTCAATAAACTTTATTTTGAAGATAAAACTTATACGTACCAGGATTTTTAGCCTTGAATCTTATGGCCACCCACCCTTTTTTGGGAATATGAATGGTGTTTTGAAGAGGAGGGTCCAGCAGATTGTACATTAAGGGATCCTTGTCCTTATCGAAATTCCCCATACCCAATCCCACAACGTAAAAAAGATATCCATGAAGATGCATCGGATGGTCACTACCTTTTAGCAAGTTTGTCCCCTGGAAAACAAGCTCCACGGTGGAATTGTAATCTAGCATCTTCACTTCCGTCCCTACGTTCGGAATCTCCCAGTCCATCGGATAAACTTCGGTAGTGAAGTCAAACACGAATAGAGGAAAATCAGGAAAATTGGTCCCATACACACCTTGAATGCAGCAATAGTAAGCTTGTAATATATCAATACTCGGATTGAGGAAGCTTATGTTGTTCACACTGGCTAAGGTTCTTGTCTTACCATCTGCACAAAAGATTTTTTTATATAAGCTAAACAAAATAAACTTTTTTGTTTGATTTTGAATTGTTTAATAAAAGATAACCATTTTTTATTCTTCAACTCACCACATCCATATATCATATGATTCAAATTCAAAATTTCTAGCTCTACTAGGAGAAGAAATTACCACTAAGCAACTAAATAATTTTTAGTATAATTAAATATATTCTTTTAGACCTAAACTTTTAGTATAACCATATATCTTTTAGGCTCAAACTTTCATCCTTAATCTTTAAAATTAGGTAATTGGCTCCTTAACCTTTTAATATTTGCCCGTATTTTGTTTGAGGGAGAGGGGGGGAGAGGAGTGAAGAGAATAGAAGGATATTATTTTC